TTTTTTTTGGTTAATTAAGGGCGTGTCTGGGCGCGCTGCAAGGAGGAANTGGGACAAATAATGAAAAATTTGAAAGATGGAGAATTACTATATTAATATTGAGTTTTTCGAACTTCATATTAGATGACCAATTATGTACTCAATAAAAAAATGATTTGGATAAGTTAAATTCGAGTTATAGATCATTAAAGTAAACTACTTACTAGATAATATTAATTTTCAAATTATACAAAAATATGAGATCAATATTGGGTTCATTTGGTAGCTCGTAGTTATTCACGTATATTTGGTTTGTGAAAAATTAATTTGGTTATGACTGAACCAAGTGAGAATCGACCAAAATAAATTATGGTTTAATGAATTTTAGAAGAACTACTTCCTTTGTTTAATCATTTTACGAGCCAACTAATAAATGTTGAGAATGGCTAAACTTTTGTTAATTAGGATTATAACCAAACTCTTTAATCGAAAATACGTCACATGATAACCTATGTCTATCGACAAGGTCCCCTCTCTTAAAATTTCCAAATTTTCCATTTTCCTCTTTTATATTCCTCCAAAATACACATCCACCTACACGCATGAACACTATTCTTTGCAAAAGAAAAACTAGAGAAAATTTCAAAGGTTTTATATGCTATAAGAGGGTTGTTCGCATCCTTTTCAAATTTTTTAGTTATATGTGAATTTAATTATCTCATTTCAGTGATCCTTTATGCCTTCGGGTTACAGTATCATGTTATTTTGCAGCACTTGCTAATTGTGTCGTAATTCTCAATTTATGTTGGGTAGAGAATTTTATACATAATTGCATATTTGGATTGAATGAGGAGTACAAAGAATCTAAATGGGTATAATTTGTTATACTCATTAATAATTTCAGGTGACAAATAGCATATTGGACAACTATGGATGGATCGGTGTGCAAGACAACATATACTCTCTTTTGAACTCGTTTATATTTTATAAATTGGACATGCTATATATACGCCATAAATTCCAGCATTGCTTCGAATTTCTGCATGATTATGAGTTACCTATTACATAGAACTGAAACCATAGGGATTGGAGAGCATCTAGTATTTATTACTAGTGTTTATTGTAAATCGTGCCAGGCCATAATCAAGAATACAATCTAGTGTCCCTTCGTGGATGGTCGAGTTGGTGAGCAAGTGAACGCGGAAACCAAAGGTCAGGAGTTCGAATCCCTTGCCAACACTTCCTCAATCGAGTCCGTTGCATCGAACTTGTCTAGTGCAGTTTACCTTTCCTGTATGGTCTGCGGACTACTGTACATGGAGCGAGGTTTACCTAGTACGCACTCACAGTGGTCGGATCTCCGCCACTTCGAGCAGCTGTGAGTTCCTACGTCAACAAAAAAAAAAAATACAATCTAGTGCATTTGAAAATTGTTGTTGTCTCTCAAACATCATCACCAGGATCCTAAAGTTTGAGTTCTATGTTTATAGGTTTTATACTCTGTTATATTTTCATAATTTTCGATGGATTTTTTTTATAGGTCAAAATTTTTTTGCAATCAATTACAATACTGGAAAAAACTGTGTCCTCTTGCTGAAATAGTCTCAAAGCCGTTATAATGTCTTTTTTTTTTTTGGAAACGTTTTCTAAGTATTCAAAATGTTTAGTTCGTCTATTATGATAAATTCAAGGAGGGATTTGAGATTTAAGCTGGTAATTATTGGATGAAATTAAATAGACAGATGAACTGAAAAATAATGAACTGAAAATAAACAGAGAAAAACGGGAGATAGACATGCTAGAAGGCAGGGAAGAAGATGAATTTTAATTCATACTTGCTTAAGGAAATTACAATGCAAACTATCCTATTTATAGAGAAAATAGCTAACAAATTATCTAACAAACTAACAAGATAACAAACTTAAGAAGAAACTAGAATATGTAGGAAAGAACTGGAGCTGCTGGTGTGCTGGACGTGTTCTGGTTTTCTGGCAGACTTGTTTGCTGGTTTGAGTTAACTGGAGTTGCTGGTGGTTTGCTGATTGTATGGTTGGTTAGTTAATATTCCAACTATTATTTATCAATTATGTCAAACTCTGTCATTTTACTGATTTTTTTAATTTGACGTCTAATGTTAAAAACTCATTTTTAGTAATTAGGGTTGCTAGAGTATGGGATGTTACTGGTTGGTATTAAACAAAATTTATAATTTTGTTGTTTAATTGTTAACAATTATCTTTTAGCATATTGCATGAATAAAAATAATTTAGAAAATAAATAAGAAACCTAAAGGTACGAGACCATTGGAACCCACTGTCATCGATCAGCCACCTTCCAGTATTTTCATTGTATGAAATGAGGAAGAATTTCTTAATGATATTACAATTTATGCAACTTTTATTAATGCAACTTAGTTTTATGATATTTTTCCATTAAAAAAAACATATTTTGCGGGTAGTACGGTGGAGCAGTCCCTAAGACAAACTTATGTGGTTTATTTAAAAGATACTGCATGACAGGAAATTGATGAATTAGTGTTGTTGGAGACTTAAAAATTTATTTGCTTGATGTTATATAATGTGTTTAACGACTGTAGAGAAAAGCAATGAAAGTATGTAGTGAATCGTAGCACTCATGTTCAACTTTGAAAGGCCACCCTGGAATGAATGTTTTGAATTTTGGGGGTGAAACCAAATGGGATGGATAATCTGATGAATGACTATGGAGTTAGTTATGCACGTTTTTTGTGAAAGAGGACTGTGCTCGACACAAAACTATTTTGTGCACTTTAAGATTTTATTTGAAAGCCAGCCGTATTGGCTGAATTATCACAACATTTAACATATTTAAAGGTAATATATTATGAGTTTACCCACTAAGTTTCAGAATTATTATCATCGTTTAGGGTGTTAAATGTTCTTAGAAGGAGTTATGAAACTATGTTGTTGAGAAAAACAGTTCGATGCACAATGACTACATGGACTATCTTTATTTTGAAAAAGAAGAAAACATGGTAAACAAGGGTGTGTATTGACTATAGAACCTTGAACCATCTGGTTATAAAGAATACATAGCCGCTTCCAAGAATTGATCAGTTAAAAGTTGAAAAGGTATTTTTGAAAATCATTTCTAAATCCGGTTATCCCCAACCCAAAATGAAGGAATGTGATATAGCTAAGAAGGCATTTAGAACATGGTATGGCTAACCAAAGTTTCTTCGAACTAAGAAAGTTTATTGCATGCCTCTTAGCTTTAACTTATTTCCGGAATTCTTCTTCTTTTTTTTTTTCTTTTGGAGGAATTAAAGGCTACTGATCTTTCAGAATAAGAAAATTAGAGGATTTATCTTAATCTCTTTTTGTCCGGGGTAGGAATATGAGTTCACCAAAGAATTGATCGACAAAGCTCACACAGTATGAGAAAACTAGAGGTTTTGAAATGTTTTGTTCAACATTTAATTGCGCAGACAGATGATGATGGGATAAACACAATCTTAGTAGGCAAGGATAAATTATTTGAAAGTAATGGCAGTGCTTAGGATTATTATGCAGTTTGAAGTATTAGAAAGGACATTGATCATAGTACTAGTTACCTAAGGCTACTAGGATAGAAGTTGATAGAAACGTCTTACAGGTAGTTTGTGACTTCAAAAGATGAAGGATTTTGATGTTATTATGTGCATAAATTGGGCTGGGCTTACGAAAGAAATTTAACAGTATCATGGCAGCCCAGCAATCTACTACTTATGCGAATATTGTGATTTATATCTACGTTGAAGGCAGAGAAGATGTTGAGGAAGATTGCATGTCACTTAACTAAACCTCAATCTCAATGGAAAGTAGACGACATACTAGTGATCAGAGTTATACTGGAGTTAGTTACGATATATATATTTTTTATTTATTGACGTAGGAATCCGCAGTCGCTACCCGCCGCCGAGCCCCGACTACCCCGAAGTGGCGGAGGCCCGACCATTGTGAGTGCGCACTAGGTAAACCTCGCTCCATGTGCAGTAAGTAGCCCACAAACCACACAAAAGAGGTAAACCGCACTGGCAAGCCCAGTGCGACGAGCTCGACCGAGAAAGTGTGGGCAGGGTATTCGAACTCGTGACCTTTGGTCTCCACGTTCACTTGTTCCACCAACTTGACCACCCCCGAAGGGGTTGGAGTTAGTTACGATATTGAAATTGTAAGAGGTAGACCCTTACAACCCTATAGAGAAACTTTTCCAAAAGATTAATAATATGTGCATAGAGTTTATTAAACAAGGACATTACCTTACCAATAGAAGTTAGTATAGAATGAAAAAAGGTTTTGGACTTGAGCTTGGTTAAGATTTACAAGTGAATACTGAGAAAATTTCGAAGAATATTTTATATGGATTCCAAGGAAGATCATGAGTGTTGTAGCAAGTTGGAGTATGAAGTACTTCCTAAATTAAAATTTTAGGAACATAAGCACGATAAAGTGTATAAATTCTTATGATTTTACTTGGAGTAAAGATTGTGAGTAACATGAGGCTTTAAGCAAAGGAGATCAAGTATAATTTGAACATAAGCATGATTTTGCTGTCAATAATACCTCTTATCTGGTCAAATACAGACTAATAAAAATTAAATTTGAAGAACTAAAAATTAGTTTGGGATAGAAGTTCTATTTTGATCTACCAAGAAAAAGCAGCTGAGCAGAGTTCAATGAATGCCAGCTTCCAGAAAAGGAATGAAAATAGAGGGCACAAAGAGTTCACTACATGTAGATGTGCAAAATAATAGAATTCCAATATATAAAAATCAAAAAACAAAAAGTAAACGTTCAGACATCCTTCAATTAACCTCGGACAACTTGGACATGTAACCTACCTCCGACAAATTCACAGATGCACATCTTTTCTTCTTACAAAGTTCAAGGCATGGAGACTTTTCCAGCCTCCTCTGTACCATATGCGCCCATCCTTCCATGTTCTGTCCTCTGGATCAATGAGAGACATCTCCTGAGGTAGGTTGTCCAGATGGAAGTACTTTATTGTCTTCTAGGGGATATACTGCCACGATAAATTATCCATCATTGACTCAAAACACCGGAAAGTATCCATAATTTATAAGCAGAAGTAATGTAGGAACATGAACGCCTTACAAAATCATTCTGCCAATATGTCCTGCTTTTGGTGACAAAGTAAGGATTTCTTGGCCGGATAGCCAAGCCTGAACTGAAAATGCCATCACCATAAGGATTAAGATGATGTAGACGTTGACGTTGTCAAACTTCACCAAGAAATACCATTAGTGAGGAATTATACAAATTGAAAGCTATATACCAAACCAATTAAATGCAGAACTTACCATGAGCCACTTGCTCCACTTGTGCTTCACCATCTGCTCCATTCTCATTCTCAACCCTCATATTAAAATGTTGAGAACCCTCCTTATCACAACCTGACAACCCTAACAGTTTTACGTCAAATAAATTGTCACCATCATATTGGAACATAAAGATGTCCCCAAATTCCAGAGAGTTATCTTCCACAATTTTTTCCCGGCCATCACAAAACAAAACAAAAAAAAACAAGTCATTTTCAAATTTGGCCATTTTCATAGGCCATATATTTGTGTAAAGGTCTCTCCAAGGAATGCCCTCCGTAGTAGAGCTCCATGTAATTGTAAACTAAAGGCTGTTGGAAGTTCCTACAAACAATAAGTTAAATGGAACTAGAGATAGAAACACTCTCAGTAGATTGAAGAGTCATTTCCAGTTTAACACAGCAGTTTCCTAACTGAGATTTTTTTTGCGTGTTATGAACCTACTTTTTAGATCATTACAGGCACATGTTCCTATCGGACAGAACAGTAGCTTTCTATACTGTAATAGAAAAAAAATAAAATAATTTCTCAAGCTTGAGAGTAAGCTTTTACAAATTCGATAAGGGAGCAAGTCCATATAAATTTTAGACAATTTTAAGTGGTATCTGGTAAATCAGATTACAAGCTTGCTTTAGTACTAATATAAACTATTTTTACCTAATTCTAGACACAACAGTCTTTGTGACCTAAAGTTTACTTTCTAACCAATTTCCTTTTTCCGTTCACATGATATGAAGGCACAAAATAAACCCACCCATACAAATTTTCGCTATACTCTGCCACAATTACATATGCAAGAAAATGCTAAGGATATTAAATCCTTGTGGTAAAAACGAGAAAAAGGCAAACAAAAAAAGAATTTTAATTAAGAATGAAGCCCCCGTTTGGGCCAACTTTTTACCTCATTAAAATGAAAAATATGACCGTTATCCACAACATCAACATTTAAATTCAAATTTTCTATCTCTTGTGTGGGTCCAATAATGACTATATTTTCCATTCTCATTCTACAAAAAGGTGGCTCAAATAGGGCCGAAAACAAGAACCCCTAAAACTAAAATTAATTTCAAATATATATATATATATATATATATATATATACACCAATTTTTGTGTGCTGATTTAGGATTGTAGCACTTGAAGAAATCCAGCGTCTTTGTTATCCTTTAATCTGTTAATGACAAATGCAAAACAACTGGCAACTCCATATATGAATAACCAAGATCAAGCGACGAAGCTTAAAAACATTTACTAGTGAAAAGCAAAAAAATAGAAAAATTTGTAATTTCAACAAAATATTTTAGTATGTTTAGTTCTTTTTTCAGAGTTCATTAAGTGCATGTTCAACAAAGTTAATTTTTTTAAGTTGGTTAAACATATATTTTATCACAAATTTTTAGAATCCACTTATATCAACACATTCTGTAGGACCACAACTATGCACTAGAACTAAAACACGAGCAAATAAATTGAAGAATTATCAGGCCCAACTTACATCTTATCTGCCCATTACTCAGTCGGCCCAACTGATAAAACATCAGCCCACTTCCAAGGCATTTTAGGCGTGTTTAGTGAACACGTTTTTGTTCTTGTTTTAATTGTTTTTTTGCTTTTCCGTTATTTTCGTTTCGTACGAACTCTCTCTCTCTTGGTCTATATAGATGGAGATCTGTGTTCCTCATTTNAGCTCAGACCATCCAGGAATGCAGCTAGTTACTTCACACTTAACAGGACAAAATTACCTTAGTTGGAGTAGATATATTAAGATAGCACTGGGAGCAAAATTGAAATTGGGTTTTATTAATGGAAATTGTGGAAAACCAGTTGAAAATACTAGTAAGTTTGAACAGTGGGTTCGAGTAGATTGTATGGTTAGATCATGGTTATTGAATTCAATTTCAAAGGAGATAGTAGAGGCTTTCATTTACACATCATCTGCGAAGGAACTCTGGGATGAATTAAAGGAGAGGTATGGAGAATGCAATGGACCTCTATTATATCAATTATAGAGGGAAATAGGAAGTATATCACAAGGTACAATGACGGCTGAGAGATATTATACTAAATTGAAGAAACTATGGGATGAACTGGCATGTCTGATGCCAGTTCCCGCTTACACTTATGTAGCATCGAAGGAAGTATCAGATCTGACAGCCTTTAATCGTCTAATGTAATTTTTGATGGGACTAAATGACACATTTGATCATGTAAGGAATCAAATTTTGGTAATGGATCCATTACCATCTGTTAACAGGGCTTATTCAATGGTAATTAGAGTTGAAAAGTAAAGGGAGGTTCACGTGATTTATCCAGGCATAAATGACAACTCAGCCATGTTTATTAAAACTACTGATTACAGAAGAGATAGTGGAGGCAGAAATAGTTATTTTAGAGGATCAGGAAGGGGACGTTTTGGTAGAGGAAATTTTAATTCAGCTAGAGGAAACATTAGAAGATTTGGTGCTGTTGAAAAGGAGTATTCACGTTGCGATCACTGTAATATAAATGGACACACAAAGGATAATTGTTTCAAGCTTAACGGATACCTAGACTGGTACAAAGATCTAAAGGAACAGAGATCTAAAGGTTACATGGATAGCAGATATTTAGCAAACATGGCAGAGACACCACTAGATTTTAATGAAGAACAAATGATTGAAACTAAGAAGAATGATATGAGTGGATCAAGTAGTATTGCAGACATCATAAAGCAGGAAGTACAAAGAGCCTTAAGAGGGATAGATATGGAGAACAAGGTGAATTTCACACATGTTAAAGAGTACTCAGGTATGAGTTACTATCATTCCTTTTTGGCTAAACTTGACTATTTGAAACCTGTTACTTGGATTATTGATACAGGGGCTAGCAATCACATTTGCTCAGACATAAAGTTAATGACCAAATTAAGAACCATAGCACAACCAATACATGTTTATTTACCAGATGGATCGACCAAACCAGTAGATAAAATTGGAAATGTGATTTTGAATTCACAACTTTGTCTCGTAGATTCATTATATATTCCCAGTTTTAAATTCAATCTGCTGTCTGTTCCCAAACTCACCCAAAATTCTAGTCTAAAACTGACATGTTATCCTACCTTCTGCCTATTACAGGACCTGCAGAGTGAAAGATTGCTGGCGGTTGGCAAACTGATAGGAAAATTATATCTCCTAGATGAGTCAAGTTTTTTGTTTAGCAATAGGAAAAATCCTGCTGATAGTTCTATTGTTGAGTCTAAAATTTCGAATGTTATTTGAAGGACATTGGTCTGAATACTTTATAATAAAAATGTTGTTTCCTCTATTGATTCACTTCTTCAATGGCATAATAGACTTGGTCACACATCATCTCACACTTTACAATACTTGGATTTTCTGGATCACTCCTCGAAAGAGTATAGTGTTTTACAACATTGCGAGGTTTGTCACAAAGCCAAACAATCCAGAAATTATTTTCCTGTTAGTGCTATACACACTAATGCCATTTTTGAAATTGTACTTGTTGACCTTTGGGGACCCTATAGACAATCTTCTCTAACAGGTACACCTTATGTCCTAACCATAGTGGATGATTTTAGTAGAGCCACCTGGACCTTCCTACTTCTTCACAAAACACAAGTTAGTAAAACACTTGACTGCTTCTTCAAAATGGTTGAAAATCAGTTTGCCAAGAGAGTTAAATGTATAAGAACTGATAACGGAACTGAGTTTCTTAGTACTGAGTGTCAGTCCTTACTACAGAATTCAGGGATTTTACATCAAAAGACCTGTGTATATACTCCCCAGCAAAATGGAGTCGTTGAACGCAAACATAGGCACTTGCTCCAGATTGCTAGATCTCTAATGTTCCAATCCAATTTACCAAAAAAATTCTGGCCCTAAACCCTCTTGGTTGCAGGATTTTGTCACCAATGTTAATAGTACTCACTTTTTGCCAACTGCCAATGTTCCTTCATTTTGCAGGTTACCACCATCAGATTCTAACGGGTATACACCCCCTACTTTTCCTTACCGTATATTACCTCACATTAGTTCCTCTTATGCTACCTTTCTAGCCTCTGTTTCAACTATCCAGGAACCAAGCTCTTATACTCAGGCTAGTCAAGATAAGGATTGGACCCAGGCTATGTAGAATGAACTTGATGCACTGGAGAGTAATCAAACATGGGTATTGACCTCTCTTCCACCAGGAAAACAAGCCATTGGCTCACGTTGGGTTTACAAGGTCAAATTACATCCTGATGGTACTGTAATCAGGCTTAAGGCCAGGCTTGTTGCCAAAGGATATCACCAATTACAAGGAATTGACTACTTTGATAGTTTTTCGCCTGTGGCAAAAATGGTAACTGTGTGAATACTCCTTACTGTGGTGGCAGCTAAGGGTTGGCCTTTACATCAACTAGACGTTAATAATGCTTTCCTACATGGCTTCTTGGATGAGGAGGTTTATATGCTACCACCAGATGGTTATCAAAGGGCATTACCAGGTCAGGTTTGCAAATTAAAACGTAGCCTCTATGGGTTGAAGCAGGCATCGAGACAGTGGAATGCTGAACTGAATTCAAAACTTCACCATTTTGGATTTCTTCAATCTGAACACGATCACTGCTTATTTGTTAAACACAGTTCCCAGGGAATACTTATTCTATTGGTTTATGTTGATGATGTCTTGATTATTGGCTCCAATGAAGATGACATTTTTGAAGTCAAAAAATACTTGGATTCTGCCTTTACCATTAAAGATTTGGGTTATGCTAAATACTTCTTGGGTCTCGAGATTGCACGAAGTCCTGATGGTATGTATGTCAATCAGAGGAAGTACATCCTTGATTTAGTTAGGGTTGCTGGATTGCTGGGAGCTAAGCCTACACAAGTGCCGCTTCCTAAGGGGACTAAACTTGTTCACCAGGCTGGTTCATTGTTTGCTGAACCTGAACGTTATATGAGATTAATTGGGCGTCTCTTATACCTCAACTTAACACGTCCTGACATCACATTTGCTGTGCAACAGCTCAGTCAGTTCGTCCATGCTCCCTGTGATTCTCATTGGGATTTGGCTTTACACCTGCTTAAATATTTGAAGGGTTGCCCTTCTAAGGGACTCTTCTTCCCTACACAACTTTCTCTCCCTTTACAGGCTTATTCAAATTCTGATTGGGCCTCTTGCCCTGATACTAGAAAGTCCCTCACTGGTTATTGTGTCTTCTTAGGATCCTCTCTTATCTCC